AGAAGAATGAGCCTTCAAGTTTGTACATTCCAGTTCCAGCACTTGGGGGAAGAACCTTCAGCACAGTTATCTGGCATCTGGACGGCAGAGCAGGGGAGCTGGCTGCCCAGTCACCTGTCATCTAGGCCAGGCCCCTCACCCCACTCAGGCTGCCAGAACTGTGAACAGAGCCAGACAGGACCCCCTTGGAAAGCACAAATTCTGGGTCTCTGGGGCAGCCTGTATTAGGGGTATTTATTTCTGGGGTTCTGGGGGTGGCATCAGGACAGCAGGTGTCAGAACCCCTAGAAACTCTGCCCGGTCACCTGATGAGTCAGATGTGTTTAGTCATGGGAAACTATGGGGAAAGACCCACAATGCTAATGCCAGGGCAGGTGAGACCCGGCTGACTGTGCAAATGAGCCCAGAGCCCAGAACAGAACAGTGAGAATTAGGTCACCCTTCCTTCTCACTGGACTATTCGGACACAACTATGTGACCCCAGACAAGCCAATTTCCCTCAGTGGTGCTCAGTTCTCTCCCTCTAAAATGGACAAGGAGGGGTGGAATCAGACAAGTTCTAAAGTCACGTCTAAGGCTAAGGACCCATGACTCTGATTTTGATCTAAATCCAGAAAAGAACTGTGGCCAGGTGTCTAATTACTGGCTCATTGTTTTTCTCCTGCAGGCTATGGGTTTACTAACACTCTAACCTTGTGATCTTCTTCCAAGAGGCCTTCCCCCCAAAGATCCATGGGAGTACTGGGAAAATGGATTGGAGACTTCTTTGTGACTCAGTTCTCTCCTTCCATTCCTACCCCCACCCGCACCCGCCATGCCCATTTCAACCCTTACCTGAGCCCTTCTCAAAGCTGGGATGCTGGCAGACCTTGGATGCAAATCTCAGGCACTTGCATTTAATGTTTGCTGTTTTGTGTCCTGCCCTATCCACTCCTGGGCACCTCGGAGGACATTCTAACTCACCATGTACTCTTTTCCCATCCATTTGTTGAATGTTTCTCCCAAGTGCCAGACTCTACTCTGAGCACCTGGGATGCCTAGAAGAACAATGTGGCCCGTTCTCAGGAAGTTGAGTCTTAAATTGGGGAGGAGCCGCATCAGTCCAAGTGACAGCAGTTAACCCCAGGTCACCTGGGAGAGAACACCAAGTGAGGACCTGCCTGAGCGAAACCTTGAAGGTGCTACAGCAGATGCCGCCAGTGCCCACCCACCCCCTAGCCCTCCTTAGAGTCCTCAGGGCAAACCAGATGTGCCAGGCAGTTAGAGCCACAGGAAGAAGCCTTGAGCCAGCAAGCAGCAGAGACTAGCGGGTAAATACCCCACCACCTGGCCACGTGATGAAATAATCCCAAGGCGCCTGGCCACAGCCTCCCAGAGGATCCCAGGGGGACTGAGTGACCTGCTCATTAACACACCTGCAGTGCCTGCCCTTCCCGGGCTCCCTTCCTTACTCCCTCTCCATGTTTCTTAGGATGGTCTCTGGAATAAACTACATGGATTCATGTCTTTACATCAGGGCTGACTTTTGAGGGAAGCCACAGTAGGTCTGGAAGAGTGAGCTGGATTGGAGAGTAAGGTGTTCGGAGGGAGGGCACCCAGACAGAGGAGCTGCTTGGGAACAGCGCTGGAGGGTGGGACGAGGCATGGCATTCGGTATGGGGCAGCATGTGGAGGACACACTTGACCCCAGGACTCTGTTGTGGGACCTTAGCACCCTTGTCCAAAGGGGACAAACACTTCAGTCATCTTTTCCAGATGCAGCTGGAAGAGGAGAAGCGGCTGGAGAAGACAGCCAGGGCTTTCCTGAGAGGTGCCCGGTGGCCCTGCCCAGCCATCTGCCTCAGTCCTGGGTCCACAGGGAACCAGGAAGTCGGCTCTGTTTCTTTGGAGAATGAGCTGCTCAGCTATGAAAGGAAATATCCCAACTGTCCTGGCTTCCTGAGTGATTTGGATCTATCTAAATATTTGGAAGAGTTTCTTTTGTGATTACAGGGATATTACAGCGTCAAATGCTGAGGCCTGTTGAAGGCAATAGAAAGCAGTGGGTAAGCCAGACAGACTAACTGGTAGTGTGCTCCAGAGCCTAGCCAGCCTCTGGGGGCCTCAGTTTCCTTACCTGTAGCATGGGAAAAATCGTACCTGGTGAGCATTCAATAAGATAATGCGTATGGCATTAGGCTCTGAGTATAGTAAGTGCTCGGTTTTAAAAGGTGGGAGGATGCTGGTGACAAGCAGAGTGCACCCCTGGGGCAAGGCCCACCTGCCACCTGGGTGAGATCACAAAGCAAACACTGCCGTGCAGGATCTGCCACCAGACTCCCCGGCTCTAAGGCCCAACTGGGCAGCCCCCTGAGAGGGTGTCTGCTTGGGTTGGGTATGACCAGAGCAACAGAGCAGTCCAAGGGCCGAGCTCAGACGTCGGGTCCGCCTGTCCAGGCCAGGCCCTTGCTGACACTGGTGAGCTAGCCAGCAAGCAGCAGGGACAAGAAGCTAGCTCAGAGGGCCTGGGGCTCTGGCAATGACGCTGGCCAGGTGATGACCTCAGCCAGGGCCTGTCCAGACCTCTTACCCCTCTAGTGTACAGAGGAGCACACTGACATCACTCTCTGGTGTCCTCTTCATAGGCCTCCATGTTTTCTTGTTTTTGGCCATGCCATGAGGCACACAGTATCTTAGTTCCCCAACCAGGGATGGAACCCCTGCCCCCTGCATTGGGAGCGCCGAGTCCTAACCACTGGACCGCCAGGGGAAGTCCCTTTGTAGGCCTCCATGGAGAGCCACTTCCTCCTCAGTCTCAGTTCAAATGGGCATGTTTCAGTGGGTTCGGCTCCCTCTCATCTGGCACCCCTGCCTGAACACCCCAAACCTCTGCTGGCCTCAGGCTGTCAGTCACCTCCAGGGCAGTCCCAGCTGTTACACTCTGAGAGAAGCTGAGGCTTCAGTTGACCTGCTGGGGGCTCTTCTGCCCGTGAACCAAGTGAAGGCAGAGGTAAGGGCCTTACCTGAGGCCGCCCACTGACCCCCCACATTGGTCCTCTCACCTTCCCACCTTTCCCTGACTCCTGCATCCCTCTTGACCTCCCTGTTGTTTATGGCACAGCGTTTCTACCTCTGTGGCCTGCGACTCAGGCTCCCTGGTAGCAAATGCACTGCCCCAAACAGGGCTGCACAGAACAGACCTCTCCCCACCCCCATGTGGGGCTGATGAAGGTATACTTCTGAGCAGCAAGGCCCGGGGCTAGCAATTAGGCTGAAAGGATATTTTTGAGGCTTTGGGTGGAGAAGGCCTCAAAAGAGATCCCCGGGGATTTGCAACTAACCAATTAAACATGCCAATTCCCAGAGGTCCTGGAGTTCCTCAGCACTGCTCAGATAAGAACTGACAAGAGGAAGGATGAAGTTGTGGTCTCAGAGGTCTGTGTACACAATGCTGGGGATGATTAACCCCTGGCCTGGGGTGGGAGCTAGGGTGTGCAGATCAAAGGCCCTCAGATGAATGAACAGTCTTGGAATTCTGGGGGAGAAAGGCACTGACTGCTCTAAACAAATGTGCTCTAAGCAAAGCACATTTAGCATCCCCAGGGTTTCAGGGAGACCTGGGGCTTTTGGTAACCAGGATGGATCACCCCAGCCACGGGGCAGGAATGATCTTTCTGCATTTCTGCCCTCTTTATTGATTCCCACCCCTTACGAGAGACAAACATCCACGCTGTCACTGAACTGAGTCCCAGAGAAACCAAACCCATCCTTCTTGGGGCTCCTGGATCCGGTCCATGCCTGCCTCTGCTCTCACATTCCACTGAGGACCCCCCACTCCTGCCGCTTTTTCCTTCCTATAGACTGGGGTACCTTCCACTTTTGGGGAAGGGGGCTTCCTCCTCATACCAGCTCACCATTCAGCCTCCAACCATCCCAGGAAATGGGAACCACCTGGCAGGAGGATCAGATTCCTGGGAAGTGATGGGGCTGACTCTGCCCCACTGCCCCCATTATCCCTCAGTGCTCACCTTGTCCCGGAAGAGCGGACTCCCTCCATCTCTCAGGCCTGGGAAAGGCAGCTGGCTGGCTGGCTTTCTGGCTGGAGAAAGGCCAGGTGAAGATGGGGGAGGGTTGGGGGGAGGTGCCATGCCCGGAAAGGGGCAGGGGCAGGCCCAGGAGACAGGCAGTGAGAGTTATTGGCTAAAGACCACAATATCTCGGTAGGGAAGGAGGGGCTGCAGGGGCTGGGGTATCTGAGGATCCCTGGGTGGGTGGGGCCAGGGCCAGGGGCGTCTGGGAAACAGACCTCCTTCTGAAATTCAAAGTTGAGCTGCTAAGCTACTGGCTCCTGGAATCTGTAAGACAAAACTGAAGACTGTAGACCGGCATCCAAGGCTGCCACACTCTGAAAGGACAGCTTCCAGGTGAGTATGACACACTGCTGGACACATGGACTCCTAGCCTCAGTTTCCAGGATCTTTTTCACTGCCTTGACCCCCCAGCTAGCAAGAGGGAGGCCCTTTCCCTGGAGCCAGGGTGGTTGCTCAGGGACTTAGCAGTCAGCAGAGAGAGCTGGAGCAGGAATGCACACCTGCAAAAATGAGGGGATGTCAAGCAGTGACCTCAAGGTCAGGACCTAGTTGGAAGTAGCTCTGACACATCCACAGCAGCCCGTGGCTGCCTGATCTATCCCTACCTGATCTCCCAGCTGCCCTGTGCAATCCTGGGCACTCCAGAAACTCCACTTCTAGCAGCCCTCAGTCATCCCTTCTGGGCAGGGCTGACTTCAGGAACCCTAGCTTTTGTTGGGACCAACATGGGATGAGGAAATACTTGACTCCAGGTTCCCAAGCCCCACAGTGGTCTGTGGGCTCCCTTCTTCCCTGAAGGCAACCCTGAGTGTCCTCCCAAGAAAGAGATCCCAGAATTTAAAGTGTGACTTGCAAACTAGTTTACAGGCAAACTGGACTCACCTGTGGCTCCGTAGTCTAAGGGGGAAAATTGGGGCAACTGAGTGTCGTTGGAACAAATAAAGTCTTCCTTAAGTCCCATGTTTATTATACCCCAGCAGAGCTCCCTCCAGACTGAGGCCATCCACTGGCGTGTTACTAATATACGTTTATGCAGCAGCGTCTGCACACCTGGAGAGAATTTGCAAAGAGAAAGGTCATGTTCCCTTCCCCCCAGAAACTCATGGGATGGGGACAAGCAAAGGGAGAGGGTTACTGGAAAGTTCAGGGGCAGATAAGGGAGGCCTTCCTCAAGAGGTCACCTGTGGGTGGAAATCCTCGAGTGAATGAGAGGGAAAGGCAGAGCTAGGGGAAGGAAGGGCAGGAGGTGCCGCGGGGTACATGCGGGAGATGATGGGGCAAAGCAGGCAGGGACCAAGTCACCGCACATCTGGTGACGCGGGGAAACAGCTCTCGCCCTTCAGGGAACATCCAGGCTCTTCCTGGGGAAGAGGCGGCGGGGGGTGGGGGCGGCGCATTTGCCCCTTCGTTCGGCGTTTCCAATGCATTTAATGGGTTGGTCCGCTCTTCTGTCTGCAGCTAAGCGCCATGTGGTGGGATCTGCTGGTGCTGCTGCTGCTGCCGTGGACGGCACCGCGCCCGAGCCGGGCGGGGCCACTCCAGAAGGCCCCAGTTTTCCAGCTCACTCACCAGGGCCCCTGGGGGAGCGGGGCCGGCAACGCCACGGTCTCGCCCTGCGAAGGGCTCCCCGCCGCGGGAGTCACGACCCTGACCCTCACGAACCGCAGCCTGGAGCGCCTGCCGGGCTGCCTGCCGCGCGCGCTGCACAGTCTCGACGGCAGCCACAACCTGCTGCGCGCCCTGAGCGCGCCCGAGCTCGGTCACCTGCCGCGGCTGCAGGTGCTGACGCTGCGCCACAACCGCATCGCCGCGCTGCGCTGGGGCCCCGGCGCGCCCGCGGGACTGCACACGCTCGACCTCAGCTACAACCTGCTGGAAGCCCTGCCGCCGTGCTCCGGGCCCGTGCTGCCCGGCCTCCGAACGCTGGCGCTGGCCGGGAACCCGCTGCGGGCGCTGCAGACCGGAGCCTTCGCCTGCTTCCCCGCGCTGCGCCTGCTCAACCTGTCCTGCACCGCGCTGGGCCGCGGCGACCACGCTGGCATCGCCGACGCTGCCTTCGCGGGGGCTGGTGGCGCGCCCCTGGCTGCGCTCGAGGTCCTGGATCTCAGCGGCACGTTCCTCCGGCGCGGTGAGTGCGGGCGCCGGGTGTCGAGCCCGAGGGGCTGGCGATCTGGGGAGAAAGGGCTGTGAACTTCCTCGAGGGGCGCTGCCCCTGGCGCCTGCTCACAAGACCACTCAAAAAGACCCGCCCCGAGCCGAGGGCACCCTGTTCGAAGCGCCGCACCAGGCTTCATTCCTTGAGTTCCAAGAGGTGGGGACTATTATCTCCGTTCTGCATGTGAGGGAACCAGGGCACAGAGAAAGAGGAATGGCTGGCCCGCAGACTCCCAGGTCATTAGCGGTGCCTCCACATCCGAATCCAAGCGTTCTGGGTCCAGAGCCCACACTTTTAGCCTCTCTGTTCTGCTCCCCAGCAGAGCTGGTCAATGCTTGTAGAATGGGGAGTGGATGCAGCGCTTTGGGGCTGATGAATGGAAGAACTTGGTACCAAACATTTAGTTAACGTGAAGCACCTGATGCTCAGAGGATGCATTCTTTGATTTCTATTCAGTTGGCTAAAACTCTTTCTGTGAATGTTGAATCCTTCAATAAGACACAGGAGGGAGGTGAGAATACCTGTTTTCCTGTACTTGGCATGTTCTGACTCTGATTCACAAGGTTGGTGTTATTTTTAAAAAAACACTTCTCATCTACACAGTAAGTCCCCTACATACGAAGGAGTTCTGTTCCTAGAACATGCTCGTAAGTCCAATTTGTTGGTAAGCCCAACAAAGTCAGTCTAGGTACCCAACTAACACAATTGGCTATATAGTACTGTACTGTAATAGGTTTATAATACTTTTCACATAAATAATACATAAAACACAAAAAATAAAACATTTTTAATCTTACAGTACACTACCTTGAAAAGTACAGTAGTACAGTACAACAGCTGGCACACAGGGGCTGGCACCGAGTGAACAGGCAAGAAGAGTTACTGACTGGAGGAGGGAGAGGAGGTGGGAGATGGTAGAGCTGGAGAATCATCAGCAATAGGAGATGGAGGGTGAGATGCAATTTCACTCACGCCTGACGTTGATGGCACAGGTTCTGGTTCCTTGCTGGATTCAATTCTATCTACCCTCTTAAAACAAAAATCCAGTGATATCTGGGTATTAGCTCTTTTTTTCTTATCATAGATGACACGGTAGCACTGGATTGCATTCTGAATGGCTGCTGCAACCTTCATGTACTGTTCTACATTCCAGTCCTGTGCCTCAAAAACTAACAGCGCCTCCTCAAATAGAACTAACTTACATGATTGGACATGCGAATGCATGTTCTCATCTTTGAAAGTTCACAACTTGCATGTTCGTATGTAGGGGACTTACTGTAATCACCTGTTCCACCACCGACAAGAGAACAAAGAACAGGAAACAGAAGAAGGGGCACCCTAGTAAATGGAGAACCCATGGGCCTCCTCCTACCTCACTCCTCCTCTCCTTCCTTACATTCCTCAAAGATTTCCCTTGCTCCTAGTAGCCATCAGAGTAAAGGCTGGGGTACTTCTGTGAGGGGTTTAACAAGAGGGTGGGGCAACAGTGGACTTGGAGACAGTGTCCTGGGGTCAAGCCCCACCCTGTCCCTTCCCCACTGTGTGGCCTTTCGCCAGGCATTGTCCTCTGGGGCCTCAGCCACCTGGGGCTGGAAAAGGAATAACTGGTCATCTCCGAGGGCCCTTCCAGCTGAAATGGCTCATGCTTCTGAGATTCCCAAAGCTGCCCACTGTACCCATGCTCTGCAATGACCTTCACCACTCACCTTGTCACTCTCATTGTTTCCTTAATCCCGTGCCGGCCTCCTGGGTTTATGCCTTCCCAGGTAGTGGGCAGTTTCCCCTCTGTGTTTCAGTTCAGTCAGGATGGATCAGAGACCTGCCGAAGCTCACGTCCCTCTACCTAAGGAAGATGCCCAGGCTGAACAGCCTGGAGGGGGACATTTTCAAGGTGACCCCTGACCTGCAGCAGCTGGATTGTCAAGATTCACCAGCACTTACCTCTGTCCATACACACATCTTTCAAGACACGCCTCTCCTACAGGTCCTTCATTTCCCGAAGTAAGTGTTCCTGAAGCACGTGACTGATTTTTGCCCATTACACTAAGTTGAATAGGTATAACTATTTTATAGGATAAACCAGACCTTACTTTGCCTTCCACTGCTCCTTCAACGCCTCGCTGGGGTCTTGTTCCTCCACATCCTTCGGGTGATATGGTGGGCACATCCTAGAGAGTCCATCCAGCCTAAAAATCAAGCAAATCAGTCCTGTCCAGAGTAATGTTAAAACTTCAAACTCTCATGCATGTTAAGTTTCCTTTAAGCCCAGGATGAGAAACTTGCAGTGAGAAGAGGAGTTGGGGGCATCAGGGTCTTCTCTATTTCTCCAACCACCTGCTTCCCCATGTGTTTATGCAAGTCAGCAGCCCCTTCCAGGGCTTGAGCAGGTCCTACTTGCATTGGGACCTGGGGATGGTGCCGTCTGGCCCAGTGGATGTCCCAAGTGTCTATATCCACCCTCCTTCCCAAGAGCAACTACTGTTCTGACTTCTAGCAGGAAGGGCAATGTCCCTTTGAAGATGATCCCAGGCCACCTCCTTTCCTGTGGGCCCACAACTGGGCCCTGGGAAGCAAGCACTGTTGCCCCACCATCACTCTCAATGTAGCTACTTCTCTTTTTTCTCTGCTAGCTCCAGAGTACTCACTTTGGGGCTTATCACAAGGGAAAAGGACATAGAACATGCAGAGCACTTAGCTCAGTGCCTGGCACATTGTGTGTGCTCTATAACATTAGCTAAGATCATCATGGTGGTTGTGATGAAGGTGATATAATGATGACAGTGATGGTGGTAATGGTAACTCTGATGATGGTGAACTGGTGATAGGATGGTAATGGTGATGACGATGGTGGCAGTGGTGATGATGTGGATGACAGTGATATCATCTCTGGCTCAGACTCCTCTTTTGAGCTTCAGACTGATGCAGCATTATTTAAGGTTATCAGATACGGAACCAAACTGCCTGGGCTCAATCCTGACTTCACCCACCACTTACTAGCTATGTGAGTTGGGGCAAGTTACCTAATGCTTCTGTGGCTCAGTTTCCTCATCTGTGAAATGGGGATAATGATCAAATCCTCCCCCACTGCATTGTTGTGAGAGGAAATGTTTTGATATGTGCCTATAACAGCACCTGGCACAGAACAGGAGGTTTGTATTATTACTACTGGGCATCTCCACTGGATGTCTCATAGGTCTTTCAGGATCTAGCACACAACTAGATACATGAGCCTGGAAATCATGGAAGGCCTGGGCTGGAGATCCCTAACTGAGCACCTTCAGCACAGAGATGGTGGAGGAGGCATCAGGTGATGACGGTGGCTGCTGATGGGGATAGTGGTGAAGGCACCAGTAACAATGATGCTGTTGAGGGCGATGGTGGTGTTGATGATGACAGCATGGCCCTTGCTTTCAGGGAGTGCACAGTTCTGTAGGCAGCGGACATCTGCCAATTGTCATGATATGCTGGTATCAGTAACAGAGGCACACACCATGTACCGTGCTATAAGACAAGTGGGGTTAACGATCAGCTCCAGCAGACTGGAAAAACATAATTGATCCATATCTTCAACGGTGAGTCCAAACTCACCAGGTGGAAAAGGCAACCTAGACCCCAAGAAAAGCAGGCATACCTGGGTCAGAAGTGGTGGCTGCTTCCTCTCCCTACGCTTCTCAGTTCGCTGCAATCTGACCACCCACTTCAGCTTCATGATTGAATGGGACCAGTGGCATTTCAGCTTCTACATCCAGTGGACACTTCTCTATCCATTGAGCCCCTTGTTGAGTCTTTCCCCCTCTTGACACGCTCTCCTTGTCCTCAGGATGTTGCCCTGGTGCTTCTCCATCCTTTCTGGATAGGCCTTCTTAAGGTCATTGGCTATTTCCACTTCTTACAACTTTTTGGCATGTCATTTCTCACCCTACATGCTTCCTCTAGCACTGTCCCCACCCCCTTGTCTGATGCCATAGGATTTGGCAAAATGTGGGGTGTTGGTGACATTCGTTCTCAGTGGAGCCAGATGGGAATGGGTTGAAGAGTCAGTGCAGGTGTAGATGGATCTTAAGGTTGGCTCCCCAGTTACCAGGTCCAGTCTGGTCTCCATTCCCAATAGCTCCTGTGCCAGCCCTTCCTACCTGCCCTGCAGGGCACCTGGATATCAAATTCTCCTCATTCCCTACCCCAATAACCGAGAGCCTTCTAATCGGTGACTCCACCTTCAGAGGCCCACATGTTAGTGCAGGAAGTCTCAAACGTTTCTGTGCCGTGGACTCCTGTGGCATTCTGTGAAGCCTATGGGCCAGAAGAATGTTCTGATATACATAAAGTAGGGTATGTACGTAGGATTCCAAAGAAACCAATTATAGTTAACAAAATATTTTTAAATGTGTGTTTTAGGAATATATGTGTGTGGGGTGTGCTTCTTTATTTAACACCATAAATAACAAAATCCAGCAGCGCGTCCAATAACTTCCATAATTTTGATGATTATAAATGACAGAAAACTACTGAAAAGTGATATGGAAATATCTGTGATTTGTTGGTGATTCACCTGTGATTTGCTGCCTTCTTTTGCCACTGTAGCAAATGGTAAATTTCAGTTAGAGGTTTGTGAAAGTAAAGAAGTAATATTCTCCATCCAAGTTCACAGACCCTGTCTCCAAGGACTTCAGGTTAAGAACCCTTGTAACCCAGTCACCATATTCAGCCAAGAGGTCTGTCTAAATTGTAATCTGATTGAGTCTTAAGCCAAATGAAAACCTTTCCATGCTTTCCGTGGCTGGAGGGAAAGGTTTAACTCTCTGGCTGGCTCAGCCCAGGCCCCCACTGTACCTCACTGTGCTCCAGCTGGGGGAGGAGCCACTCCCAGAAGGCTGGGAGCTCTCAAGCCTCTGAAGCTCATTAAATGCCCGCTCCCCTGTTGGACCTTCTTCCCTTCTCAGCCCACCTTGCTTCTGGCTCTCCTTAGCTCACCCACAGCCTCCCCTGGGAGGCTATCTGTGATAGATGCTGGGGGACGTGTGCGTGCCCTGGCACAGCCAGCACCCTCTGAAGAGGGGGTGGCACCCTCCTGGCTGCTCTGCCAACCCAGCATGCCCAACGCCATCCATAGTCCTCTCAGACAACACTACATGCAGGAGGGAGACGCCTTTGGCAATATAGCAGCAAAAAAAGAGAAAAGGGATTGTTTAGAGGGCGAGGGGAAACTTCTTCCACACTAGGGCTCTGTCAGTTCAGATGCAGAGAACACCTAGGTGCCATCATGCGTCAGGACATGATGCAGGGTCTCCCTCAGCATGCAGATGGCAAATGCAGCTTGTCTTTATCATATGCAGGTTGCACTGGATGGCAGAAAGGGCTGTCAGATAAGGAAAAGACTCCTTTTCCTTATTTATAAAATGAGTGAAATATTGGGAATTCCCTGGTGGTCCAGTGGTTAGGAGTTGGCGCTCTCACTGCCGGGGCCCAGGTTCAATTCCTGGTCAGGGAGCTAAGATCCCGCAAGTGCAGCCAAAAAAAAAAAGAGTGAAATATTATCTACCTCATGATCAATGAGATAATGTTACCTGAACCACTAAGCAATGTTACTTCCCCCAAAATATGGTAATCCTTTTCATTTCCCCTTCAGGCAAAAAGAAAAATATTTCTTTTGAAAGATGAAGTGCTAAGTAAACTCCCATCCTAAGATTTCTACTCTATCTCTGTGAATCCTGCTAAAAGCAAGCATTTGCATATATATATATATACACATATATGTGGGCACAGCTTAAGTTTCAATATAAATGGCACACACATATATTCAGTGCTCCACAGGGGACAACTGTCAGGTGCCCACTGGCCAGGAGTGTTAGAGCAGATCTGGGTGGTAGGTCCTTCCTTGCCCAGAACATCTGCATCTCCCCCAGAGCAGGAGGAGAAGGTGGATGTTTCCCAGGCAGATGGAGAAAAGCCAGCCTTTGATCAGAAGAGGCCTGTAGATAGAGTGTAACTCCTGTTGCTCATGATGCTCAGATTATAACTGAGAACATGTACAAGAGGCCAGGAGACTCCAGGAGTTGAGACAGTTGAGGCCAAACGCTCAGTGAGGCTCTGGGCAGAAAACGCAGAAAACCAGGAGAGGACCTGCCACTGCTAGGTGTGGTACATTGTTTGCAAAAATGGCCCTGATAATTCCTCCCATCCCTGTAGACACACCTCTTTGCAATGTACTTTACAGCTCCTCCCATCAGGAAGTAGAGTCTGTTCTCCACCCCTTGAAGCTGGGCGTGGCCATGTGACTTCTTTAGGCCAGAGGGACATTAGCAAATGTTATATAAGCAGAGACAAAAGCAGATGAGCAAGTTGGGGCTCGCCCTCTCTTGCTGGTGGGGACTGGTCCACCACCATGTGCACAAGCCTGAGCTAACCTCCTGGGTGATGAGAGACACATGGAGAGTGGTCCCAGCAAACCCAGCTGAGGCTCCATATATGGGAGGCCATCCTAGATCTTTCGGGCCCAGCTGAGCTGGCCCAGACCATAAAAATCACTGAGTCAACCCACAGAATCATGAAAAAGAATAAATATTTATTATTTTAAGCTAAGTTAGCAAGCGCTAACTGATACACTTCAGTGAGGCATCTTCCAAAGGACTGGTGTTGAGTGCCATCAGATGCAGTTCAACTGCAATAGTATACGTTCAAGAGTGTTCTCACTGGGCTTCCCTGGTGGGGCAGTGGGTGAGAGTCCGCCTGCCGATGCAGGGGACACGGGTTTGTGCCCCGGTCCGGGAAGATTCCACATGCCACAGAGCGGCTGGGCCCGTGAGCCATGGCCGCTGAGCCTGCGCATCTGGAGCCCGTGCTCCGCAACGGGAGAGGCCACAACAGTGAAAGGCCCTCGTACCACACACACACAAAAAAAGTGCTCTCACTAATTAAGAACTTGTGACTGGTCTATGATAACAATATCTTACTTTTTAAAAAAATATATATTTTATTTTATTACTTATTTATTTTGGCTGTGTTGGGTCTTTGTTGCTGTGGGCAGGCTTTCTCTAGTTGCGGCCAGCAGGGCTGCTCTTCCTTGCAGTGTGTGGGCTTCTCATTGTGGTGGCTTCTCTTGTTGTGGAGCACGGGCTCTAGAGCACAGGCTCAGTAGTTGTGGCGCACGGGCTTAGTTACTCTGCAGCATGTGGGATCTCCCTGGACCAGGGCTCAAACCAGTGTCCCCTGCATTGGCAGGCAGATTCTTAACCACTGTGCCACCAGGGAAATCCAACAATATCTTACTTGTGTAGAGATTTATATTTATAAACACTTTCATCATCACAGACTCTTTTTGATATAACCAGCAGGGAGGACTGTCTCCGTTTGTTATGAGGGGTGATACTGACTGGGTTAGGTTTGTATCCCTACAGATGAAAAAAAAAAAAAAATCCAAGGTTATTAAGAGTTTGCTCAAAGCAATATCATCTAGCACCTAACAGAATGGATTTCCCATAACACCACCGTGGCTCTCTGGGTATAGTTTTGACCTCATTGTAAAAGACTGACTTAATAGATTTTTGTGCATTTCAGCTGCAACTTGAGTTCCTTCCCTCCTTGGAACCTGCATTCCTCCCAGGTCCTGTCCATCAACCTCTTTGGTAATCCCCTCACTTGCAGCTGTGAGTTGTCCTGGCTCCTCATGGATGCAAAGAGGATTGTCCTAAGCAGGTAACACATTTACAAAGCAGATGACTGAGGGGTGAGGGCCTGCCCTCCGGAGCCGAAGTTCTCACAGCTCATATCTTGCTCACGTAACCATGCTGGACAGGTTGGCAGTGCTGGGTGGGGCAGCCATTCCCCGTGTAGTCACACTCAAGAACCCAGGACATAGAGGCTCTACTTCCCTTCCAGTCAGCCAGAGGGGCAGAGAGCGTGGAGGACCCCCGACTCAGGAGGTTTTAATGGGCCAGGCCAGGAGGTGGAGCTCACTACCGTCACTCACATCCCATTGGCCAGATGTCACTTAGCAGGTCGCGCCTACTACAAGGGAGGCTGGGAAATGTAGTCTAGCTGTGTGCCCGCTAGGAAAAGCAAGTAGGAGAAGTAAAGAGCTAGCTTGTCTCTGCTAAAGCGGAGTTATCATTGCTTATTTTACAAACGAGCGAATTGGGGCCCAAGGAAGAGAGGTACTTGCTTAGATTCACGTAGCCGCTGGGTGGAGGAGGCAGGATCTATACCGTCTTCCAAAACTGTGCTCTTAACCACTGGGCCCCACTGAGTCCCCAAAACGGGGCCTGGCCTCTAAGTCCAGGGCCAGTGGGCTTATAGAGCTCTCTTGTGAGACAGGAGAAAAAGAATTCCTATGGAGACTTCCCATTGGCTGCTGGCTGGAAGAGTTGTTTTGCAATGGGGAGCCATGCCCAGGCTGGCCACCAGGAGAGGATGGGGGCTAGGGACACCTCTGGTCTTGAGCACCCTCAAACCACCTCCACCAGCTAATCTGTTCTCCTTGCAGCTCACTTTGAGAGCCCTGTCCTGTGGGGTTCTTTTCTCACCTCTCACACAAGCCTGGATATCAAGTGGGGCTCAGTCTGCCCCCCTGACCCCTTCATGTTGCCTCTGGCACCCAGGCCCTTTGCAGTGAAGGGTCTTGCTCTGGTATGAATGAAAAGGTTGAGAGTACTTACTACTGTTGATTCTGGCTGTTACTTAACCTCTTTGTGTTTCTACCTCCTCATCTGTAAAATGGGGATAATAGTGCCTACCTCATGAGGTAGTGCAGACTAGATTGGTTTATACAGTGAAGTGTTAGCAATAGTCCCTAGCATGCAGCAAGCACTCAAAAAATGTTAGCTAGTATGCGTATTGTTACTAGTACTCACCACTAGGAAGCAGACAGGTGAGAATAAAATGGCAGACCACACTTAGAGCATCTGGACTGCCCTTCACCGGGCTCACCCTGGGTTTTGGCTCTGCATTTACTAGCCACGCTATCTTGGGCAGTTAGTCCCTCTTTCTGAGTTCCCATTTTCTTCTCTGCACAATGGGAGTGATGAGGGGAGCCTCCTACACAGGTTGCCCTGAAGGTCACTGGCGTGACCCACATTGCATGTGTACCACATGGTACCTGTCAGATGTGTCACAAGGCTTAGGAGAGGGATTATCTGCACTGAGGACTCAAAGCCCAGCACAGAAGCAGCCCTGATGCCAAATACCTTCTAACCAATTGGCCTCCCCTCTAGGGCAGCAGACACTGTGTGCACACCAGCTGCAGGATCCAGTGGCACCTTCTCAGCCCCTCTTTTGCTGTCCCAGCTGCCAAGTGTGTGCCATTCGGACCAAAACACCACCTTCCTTGATTCCAACCCACCCTCCTCAGTCTTCTCCACCCACACACCATCTACACAGGGTCCCTCCACCCTGCGGAGAACAGTCCCCTCTACCCAATGTGCAGGAGGCCGACAGAGTGTCACCAAGGTGCCCTCCCTCCCTGTGGATTCCCCCACACAAGCGGCGGGGCCACGGCACAGCCTTGCCGAGGACGGGGCCGTTCCCTCCACTACTGTCTCTCCAGCAAGTTCCAGCAACTCTGGCAACCCACCTAGGGCTGCGAGCACAGCCGGGACAGAGCACCAAGAAGAACATGCTGCTCAGCTTGTCCTGGAACCTACTATCTCAGCTGCCTCCACCCCATGGGCCAGCAAACACCCTGGTCTCTCCCCTATCTCCCGGAACCCAGGGAGCACGCCTCAGCCCGCCCGGGGGACACGGGCCACCCCGCGGGCTCCCCACCCGCCTCCTTCCGAGGGCGGGATTCCGGTCCTGCTGCTGGACGACTCCAGTGAGGAGGAGGAAGAGAGCGGGAAGGAGGAGGTGGGGGCGCCGGCCCGGGATGAGCCCTGCGATTACCACCCCTGCAGGCACCTCCAGACGCCGTGCGCAGAGCTGCAGCGGCGCTGGCGGTGCCGGTGCCCCGGCCTCAGCGGGGAAGACACCCTCCCGGACCCCCCCAAGCTGCAGGCGGTGGCCGAGACCACTGACACGTCGGCGCTAGTGCGCTGGTGCGCTCCCAACTCGGTGGTGCGCGCCTACCAGATTCGCTACGCGCCCGAGGGCCGGCCAGGGAACCAGTCGGTGGTGGGGGACGTCTGCGCCACCGCGCGCCAGCACGCCCTGCACGGGCTGTCGCCGGCCACCGCCTATCGCGTGTGCGTCCTGGCGGCCAACGGCGCGGGCCTGAGCCGGCGCGGGGCGTGCGCCGCCTTCAGCACCGGGCGCAGCCCAGCGCTCCTCGTGGCCGGGCTGGGTGCCGCGGGCGGCCTGCTGCTAGTCAGCACCGCGCTGCTGGCCGCCGGCCTCTGCCGCCGGGGCCGGACGCCACGCTCCCCGAACCGCCGTACGCAGCTGCTGGCCTACCGCAACCCCGCCTTCGCCGCCGAACCCGCGCCGCCGACCCCGGCCTCGCTCCCGCGGGCGCGCGATCGCTGAGCACCCGCCGCGTGCGCGAGGAGAAGGCGGTACCCGGTCCCGAACGGCCGGTCGGCCCCGAGCGTCTCTCCCTCGGGCGAGGCCCGCGCTCCTCAGGCACACGTGGCACTCCCCGCGCTGAGTTCCTCATTCCCGGGAACCTCTCTGCCTTCCCTTCCTGCTGCTTCTCTCTGTTCCGAGAAACGTGATGGTTCATGCTGCCGGGCATCCCTGTGTGTGGTTTTATTGGGGTTTTTCAGCAGTCAGTGCCCCTCAACGTCCGGTAGAATAATTAGAATTGTGTGTGGAAGTAGGAAGAGAGAAAACAAATGGCGCAATGCGGCCGCTTTTCTCATATTGGAAGCGACATCCTCAGGTCATTTCAGAGAAGTTCCCTCATGGTCAAGCTCTGGTAAGGGTCCTGTTATTAAAGGGAACGACTCCAGTGGATTCTCAACCTGAGAACCGGTTATGTTCCCTGAGGCTTTGCGGGTTCATTAGTTCATTTCAGGGTACAGTAGCAGGTGTGCTTCTAGCTTTAAACTGCAGTCTTTAGGGAACATCTGTGAAACACGGGGAAGGCTGTCCTTTCAAACTCGGTTTTTGCTGCATTTCACCTATGTGAACTCCTTTTTTAAGGAAGCATAATAATTAATAATCTCACTTTCAGGAAACTTTTTTTTTTTTCCGGTACGCAGGCCTCTCACTGTTGTGGCCTCTCCAGTTGCGGAGCACCGGCTCTGGACGCGCAGGCTCAGCGGCCATGGCTCACGGGCCCAGCCGCTCCGCGGCATGTGGGATCTTCCCGGACCGGGGCACGAACCCGCGTCCCCTGCATCGGCAGGCGGACTCTCAACCACTGCGCCACCAGGGAGGCCCCAGGAAACTTTTTTTTTTAAGAGAGAGAAGAAATAGAAGGAAAACCTCAAGGCTCTGGCAAGAGGCCAAAGCATTTCTCTGCTCAAATTGCATCAAACAAACCTTTTTTGTATGATTCGTATCTGACTGTGGGCTATGTCTCACTATACCTTTTTTTTACTTCTATACAAACTTAGGGGGGAAAGTGACTTTATTAAATTAAAATGGGGGTCATATACCTAGATTTTAATTTTCTACGTTAGCATTTATGTAAGTTTCCTGTGGCCACCGTAACAGGTTACCACAAACTGGGTGGCTTAAAACAACATAAGTTAATTCTCCTACTGGTCAGGCCAGAAATCCGCAGTCAAGGTATTAGCAGGGTTGGTTCCTTCTGGAGACTGAGGGAGAACTATTCCACGCCGGCCCCCCTCCCCCCACTGCCCCTACCCCTCCACCCGTGTCTGGTGGAAGCCAGCAATCCTTGGGTTCCTGAGCTTACAGGTGCATCACTCATCCATGCCTCCTTGTCTTGTGACAGTCTCTGTCTCACGTGTCTAAACACCTCCCCCCTCTTTCCATTCTTTTCTCCAGGCTTACTGATATATAATTGACATATAACATTGTTTAAGGTATACAATGCAATGATTTGATACTCCTATATATCGAGAAATAATTAAAATAAGGTTAGTGAACACGTCTGTCACCTCATATAGTTATCTTGGTGTGTGTATATGAGTGTATGTGTGGTGAGAACTTTTAAGATCTTAGCTACTTTCTAATAGTACGGTATTGTTAACTGTAGTTATCATGAACTTGTAACTGGAAGTTTGTACCATTTGACCACCTTCACCCATTCCCCACCCAACCCCCTACCCTTAGGGACCACCAATCAACTCTGAGTTGCTTTTTTTAGATTTCACACATGAGATCCTACTGAATTTGTCTTTCTCTTTTTTCCGTTAGTATAATGCCCTCAGGGTCCATCCATGTTGTTCCAAATTGCAAGATCTCTTTCTTTTTTATGGTTGAATAATATTCCATTGTATATTTATTTTTTCTTTATCCATTCATCCAGTGACACTTAGGTTGTTTCCATGTCTTGATTACTGTAAATAATGCTACAATGAACATGGAGGTGAAAATATCTCTTCAAGATAATGATCTTATTTCCTTTGGATATGTACCCAGAAGTCAAATTTCCCTCTTCATATAAGGACACTAGGCAGTGGCTTAAGGCTCACCCAAATCCAGTATGACCATCCTAACTTGATTACGTCTGCAAAGACCCTATATCCAAATAAGGTCACATTCACAGGTATTGGGGTTAGAACTTGAACAATATCTTTGAAGCACAATTCAACCCACAACAGCATTTTACTTCTATTCCAAGAAAAAAAATCAAGTTTGATTTCCATGTATCTTTTGTTTCCATGACATGCTGCAGCACAAAAACCATGCTGCAGAAACTAAGCATATCCAAGTTTGACCTGAATAACTGAACTGTATTTCTAGGTGAAGTTTTGAAAAGGCTTCCCAAAATTCTGAGGTGGATCCCTAGTTTCATCAAATATGTAACCAAGAGAAATAAGACTGATTTAAAAGATACCTACCAGCTCCAAATTTAAAATTGCAAGGCAGAAGTCCTAAACATAAAAGCCCTCAGGAATGTAGTTATATTATCCCAATGCCTTTTTTAGTTTAATATCAAGATTGAGGGACCTTCCCTTGTGGTCCAGTGGTTAAGACTCCACACTCCCAATGCAGGGGGCCCAGGTTCGATCCCTGGTCGGCGAACTATGATCCCACATACCGCAACTAAGCCCGCATGCCGCAACTTCTGAGCCCATGCGCTCTAGTTGCCTGAGTACTGCAACTAGAGAAGCCTGCGAGCCGCATCCAGAGAGCCTGTGCAGCGCAAGGAAGACCGAAAACAGAATTAATTAATTAATTAATTTAAACAATATTCCTTAAAAAAAAATGATTGAGTCTGTTATGTGGAGGCATCAAAATGAATTTGTCTTGCTTGGAGTCTGTATGCATGAATATACACTCAAACATACCTAATACAATTTCAAAGTTTTATAGACCAGCAGAATTTATGTCTTATAGCAATTCAGTATCCAAAAACATACAGGTTGACGTGGAAAAAGTCTATTAACCAGAACCAGATTAAGACTTTGATACTAAAGAGACTAGGGACCCAACCCGTAAGTCACTCCAAATAGTATCAACACTAGACCATAAATAAGCATAACAAGACACAAAATTCTAATTTTTCCCCTACTTTATTTCAAGTTCTCCCTTTTTTAAACATCATTTTTGTGTGCTCATACTTTGCTAGTGCTGAGACATGGTCAACGTGCCTCTTGGGTGGTCCAGCAATGGGACTTCCACCTCAAGCCTCACTGCACCCCAGGCCGTTATGAGACATTACAGGAGGTTCCCAAAGGGGAGAATGGCCAGCCTCACACCACCCTCCTCTCACCCCCTTCCACTGGATTCCTTAGCAGTGTCCCTGGCCGCAGGCTTCAGTGTTTTCCAAGCCAAGGATGGCTCAGCAGCTAATCTGGGAACAAGGAAGCCAGGACCAGCAGGCAACAAGGGGCACACTGATCCAAGGATGTCACAACCAAGAGGCATGAATTTTGCTTATAACTTCTCATTTTAACACAGCTCAATAGGCTATGTTTAGATAATCTCACTGTATGAGTCCATGTTACACTTAGGTTAGACCTCGGGACAATGAGCAGCAACAGGCCTCCACTGTTAAGAGGAGGCAACCAGCACCAGCCACTTGTCTTCCTCTCCCCTCTCCCTGCATCTTGCATTCTCTTAAACATGACAGTGTAGCAAGAATAGGGCTTTTAAGTCAGATGATCACAAACCAATTATTTTTACAATGTTAAGTGCAAGTGATATATCTGAATGGACTTTATGAATCAGAAAACTTCCACAACAGCAGACGACCGTGGAACACAGACAACCCAAATTGAAGGTCACTTTTTTCCGGCTCTTTTATTCCTTTAACATCTTAACAAAAGAAGATTCCCCAAAGCTTAAAAAAACCTTTGAAAAATATAATTTCATATTATTTACATAACATATGAGTACAGGTCCCAATATCATACAAACATTGTTATGTTAGAGATACAGTGGGAAGGCATGATGTAACTCACTGCCTCTTGGATGGCTAGGGTAACAGACATATTTTCATTTTCCAACTACCTTTGTCACTTATTATCCTGATGCATAAACTATTAGGCACCTGAGAGGTTGGAAGACTTCTGAACATGAACTTCAGTACCTTCTATTTTGATCTTATTTATTATTTTCAAAATTTACTGCATTTTAAATCTCTTTACAAGTTTAATTCATCCACAACTAAGCTACCTTTATAGTCATTATCCTGAACAATCAAATATTAACCACATGTACTGTTAATGTGTGCACAGATCTAAAAGTCAAACAAACAACTGTGCAGCCAAGTTGTACAGGATGTATATTTAAACCCAGGAAATTCCCTAGTGCTTTGTGAGCAATCTAAATTCTATTAAAGTGACAACTCTTCAGTTTCCATGCTCTAGACTGTTTTTTGTTTTACATATCAAAAAATGACTGACAATAATTGCTACTTATAAATTAATCAAGAAACCTAAGATAAAAAAATTCTAAATTATAGTTTTATTTGTATTTAAAATTACATTGGAAATTCTGCATATGCCCATGATCAAGCTTATTTTCAATGCACATTACTTAAATTTTGATGACATGGTTTGTTCTGACAAGTCCTTTTTCAAGCTGAACACCAAAAAAGGAAACTCCCTTAGATTTCCACTGGCCCTGCCGCCGATGATGTATATTGCTTCCTTGCTAATGATGATGGATGACTTTCATCTGCCTTTTATCACCTGAACAGTTTTCCGACCATAATGATAATAACTGTAAGCTGATGCAGCTGTGGTAAAAGCTGTAAGACACCTTTTATGGAAGGAAAGAAAGAAAATTTAGTCTAAACTCTAAAAAATGCTAACTATAAGAACCATAAAGAATACATTTAAAGGAGTTGTTTCAAAGTAAAAAAGCCTGTGTTGGTGTAATTTTTTTTTAACAAGAATTTAAATATACTGCTTTTCTTTAAGACTTCATTTGAATCAGTAATGTCAAACAGAATTAATCTAATCAGTCTGAAAAAAATAATAATAGCAATTGTCATTTTTTACCCAGACATTATTCTAGGTAGTTTTATTTTCACAGCAACCTCATCTTACAGAGGAAACAGTGCCCCAGAGTTTGCTCAGGGCCACAGAACTATGAGTCTGGCTTGGTTCCAACTCTAGAGCCCTTGTGCTCCTCCCACTGTTCCACGCTGCTTAGAGTGTTAGTTTTAGAAGCTATTTCTTACAGATCTTGGGAATTCTAATATCTGAGTCATTTTAAATAAAATTCAGCCTTCTTTACTGATATTTCCTTAAAATTAAGGAGAATTAATCAGATTCTCTTTGAAATGACACGAGTGACACTCAGGGCTTGCTGAGCGCTAGCAGCTAACACGTTCCTTTTTGGTGCACACATGTACTTCTGTTTCCACCAGGTGAGGTGTAGGCTCATCAAGAATCTGTTTGATCTCAAACCTGTTTATGCCAGTTTGATATCCTAAATTCACACATAATGAAACATACAGGTAGGAAGAGTCGCTATTTCTGAGAACTAAGCTGGAGGCTTTGGAAAGGCTTGATATCACAGCGAGTTGCTAAAAATTACTGTCAAAGTAAGTAGACAATGTAATTGTTAAAATACTAGAGAAAATGATAAAAATCTAGAAAGTTTCT